GCTGTGAATAACCCATGTCAAGTTTGTATAACCCATTACAGTTGTGAATAAATCATGTCAGCTGTGAATAATCCATGTCAAGTGTGTATAACCCATTACAGTTGTGAAAAAACCATGTCAGCTGTGAATGACCCATGTAAAGTGTGTATAACCCATTACAGTTGTGAATAAATCATGTCAGCTGTGAATGACCCATGTCAAGTGTGTATAACCCATTACAGTTGTGAATAAACCATGTCAGCTGTGAATAATCCATGTCAAGTGTGTATAACCCATTACAGTTGTGAATAAACCATGTGAGCTGTGAATGACCCATGTCAAGTGTGTACAACCCATTACAGTTGTGAATAAACCATGTCAGCTGTGAATGACCCATGTCAAGTGTGTATAACCCATTACAGTTGTGAATAAATAATGTCAGCTGTGAATGACCCATGTCAAGTTTGTATAACCCATTACAGTTGTGAATAAACCATGTCAGCTGTGAATGACCCATGTCAAGTGTGTATAACCCATTACAGTTGTGAATAAATCATGTCAGCTGTGAATGACCCATGTCAAGTGTGTATAACCCATTACAGTTGTGAATAAACCATGTCAGCTGTGAATAACCCATGTCAAGTGTGTATAAACCATTACAGTTGTGAATAAACCATGTCAGCTGTGAATGACCCATGTCAAGTGTGTATAACCCATTACAGTTGTGATTAAATCATGTCAGCTGTGAATAACCCATGTCAAGTGTGTATAACCCATTACAGTTGTGAATAAACCATGTCAGCTGTGAATAACCCATGCCAGCTGTGATTATGCAAGGACTTTATGGTCGTGGGGAGCAGCAGATTACACCAAACCTAGCAGCCCTAGTGTTGCGACACGGTTGACAGGAGAAATGAGAAGAAAAGCTCTCAACGGAGAGCAAGGATTAGATAGTCTTACATGTCATGGTTTTAAAAATAACCTAATGTGTATGCACCTTGAAGTCATTAAAAATAATTCTATTCTTTATTCTCTCCATTTTGTGATGAAAAATTATAACTTTTTTCCATAAAGCTATTATGACCAAACTTTTTAGGAACCATCTGTAGGTCAAGACATAAGTGGTTGTGACCTATTGTTTTTGTTTTTCTTGTGATCAATCGACCAAATAGCAAATAAACATGGCAACACTGAGATTTATAATAAGATTTTTAATATTGCTTGCAGTAAACACACACAATTTCACGTGTGAAAGAAAGAACTGAACACCAATATATAACTGGAATTTTTACTTTAAAAACTTTGCACAACTGGTTATGTTCCAATTCAAAACAATAAGATAATAAAATAATATGTAAAGAACACAACTAGCAAGTTCTTAAGCAGTTTCACTATGTAGTTTCACCGCGTTCGTCTTGGCGACACACAGTACAACCTCTCTCATTTCATGAAACTGGTCATGCAAAACCGTCACGCCCCCCCCCCTTCTTTCTATTTGTATCGCATAATGCACTTTAACACAATCTTACTGATAAAATATTTTCAAGAAATTTTCTGTTCCAAACTTTCTTCAAACTTGAAATAAAACGTTCGTGCTTGTTCAGCCTTGAAAGTACACAAACCAGCTGTTTTAAATTTTACAGGAAAAGATGAGAACTGGGTAAATCTGTTATAGGAATATCAGAAAAATTCTGATAAATAGAAATCCCAAATTCTATTTTATAAGCAGCTGTCTTGCGCAACATTTTTTGACAATTTAAAAACAGAACTTAGAGAGCCCTAAATTCAGCACTAATCCGCATTTTCTTTGCATCGTTCATGATTTTTACAAGCCAATAAGAATAGAGATTTAGTGAAAACAAAATAAAATGAGTAAAACAGAGTAGGGTTAAACCTGAAAAAATAAACGTAACAAAACAGCGAACGCGTCGGCAGAAAGTCTTCGTCAGCGAACAAAACAGCAGTGAAAACGGTATAAAAATTAAAAAAAAAAAAGGAATAGCACTTAGCTGGTAAGTAGTATCTGTGGGCAGCAAAAGAAGTGTAGCAGAAGGAAAGTGAGTGAGAGTTTAAATATGCAACGGCGAAAAAAAAGGGGGAGAAAAAAGTTCACTGTGATAGGTCAGAAAATTCTTTCTCGAGACCAGACCCCACCCATCTATACCCACCAAAAACTTCGTCAGATTGGCTGAACTAGTCCTCACCCTCAATTCGTTTGAGTTTCGTTGCCAATTATTCTTCGACCAAATCAGTGGTGTTGCTATGGGGACTAAAATGGGACCCAGCTATGCTTGCTTGTTCATGGGGCATTTTGAACACATGGTCGAAAGCAGCTATACTGGACGCCTCTCTGAATTCTATAAGAGGTACATAGATGATGGTTTAGTGGTCACCATTATGTAGAGGAGTGAACTTGACCTGTTCATTAACTTTGTAGACTCCTTTCACCCCTCCATTAAATTAACATCTCTTATCTCTGAGACCTCAGTCAATTTCTTAGACATTACAGTCACTTTCACAAAGACACCCTACTCACATCTGCCTACTTTAAGCCCACTTACAGCCACAGCTATCTACTTTACTCTTCATCCCACCCTAAATCCTGTAAAGACTCTATTTCTTTCTCTCAATTAATTCGTCTTCGTCGACTTTGTCGGTCGGATGAGGACTTTTGGGACAAAGCACGTGACATGATAGACTTTTCCCGGTGTAGGTCTTACCCAGAAAGCAGTACTTTCATCAGCCCTCCAAAGGGTTAAGAATATAACACGTGCTGATGACTTCAGACCACGTCTGTGCGACAATGATGACAGGACAACACTCACTATAACTTATCACCCTCACAATCTGATTGATAAACGTGTTTTCGTTTAACATCGATCTATATTAATCGCAGACACCGACACACGAGAAATTTTCTTTTCCCCACCTCTCATTTTGTTTAGACGGGATAAAAATCTGAGAGACCTCCTTGTACGCAGTTTTATCAATGCTCCCCCCTCCCACTTTGGGACAGCCGTGTGGACGCAGCCGTTGCAACACTTGCCCTTTTGTCGTCTTGACTCAACACATACGTTTCCCTAAGGGCAGTTTTCAGATTCGCGGCGGTTTCCTCTGTACAAGCCGCAACGTTTTCTACGCCATTGTCTGCACCCGCTGTCAGATGACGTACATAGGGGAGACTGGACGCCGTCTCTCTGACAGGTGTACCGAACACCTCAAAAACATTACACGAGATAAACTGTGTCCCTTCTCCAAACATTTCAATAGTAACGACCACCAAGGCAAGGCGGACTTTTCAATAAGTGCGATTGTGGCTAGAACGAACACCGCCAGCCGGGTCAATTGGGAACACAGACTTATCTTGACTTATGGCACTTTGACGCCAGATGGGATTAATGTTATGTTTCTGTTCACAGCTTGATCCTAGCTCTACCCCTCCACGTTCTGACCTATCACAGTGAACTTTTTTCTTCCCCTTTTTTCGCCATTGCATATTTAAACTCTCACTCAATTTCCTTCTGCTACACTTCTATTGCTTCCCACAGATACTACTTACAAGCTAAGTGCTATTCCTTATTTTTATTTTGATACTGTTTTTTTCTGTTATTTTGTTCGCTGACGAAGGCTTTCTGCCGACGCTTTCGCTGTTTTGTTGCGTTTATTTTTCAGGGTTAACCCTACTCTGTTTTACTCATTTTATTTTGTACTAACCTGATTGCAGTCTCTCCACCTTTTACCCCCTAGTGAAAACAAAATCATTTTCAGCTACTAAAATAAAATGTATCAAATAGCCCTGTTCAGGCCTAATATGCCTGGTGGGTACACAATACATCACTTCAATGACTGTTGTTAATTTTCTTCATCCATGTTGTGAAAATATTTTTAGAATCTAGATGGTGATAATCACTTGAGAAAAGTGCAAATGGAAATACAATTCTGTTTATTTTATTGTCATCACAATTGACTTCTCACCAGGGTTACCAGACCTTGGAAAATTTCCAAAATTCTTGAGAATTCACGTTCCACTTGGGATCTTGGGAATAATTATGGAAATAAGGGGAAGACTTTTGAAATACTATGTGAGAGAAAAAATTATTTGAATATGTATTAAAAATCAATATGATCCAGACTGATCTATACATTTTTCGCGGACCCTAAAAATATAGAAGAAGAAGATTAGAAAATAGATCATATATTTAACAAGAAAACAAACCAGAAAAATTTATAAGTTTCACTAATTTCCAGCTTTCAAATCGCTGAGGTTGATTTTACTTTTCAATTCCATTGGCGATAAATATATAAGAAATCTCCTAAAATTAAACTTATTGATGTATTAAAAAGTTATAATTGAAAGATATTAAAAATTCAGCCACGAGTTGAATGTTGTCAACACTGACAGTGTTGACCATTTGGCATTCTCAATAATGCATAAACTCATTATATATTTTAATTTTATGGAATTTAGGAAAAGTTAGGCTCGCAAAGAGTCTTGTTACTCCTTCAACTGTAATCACTACAATCCGAAGAGTGAAGGGGCGTGCCCACTCATCCTCTACAATAGTCAGAAGTGGCAAAATACCCAAACACTTGTGTTTATTTCTAAAGTGCTACTGGATAATCCTTGCCTCTTGATAAATTACCACATCACAAGAACTAGATAGTGGTGTTTGTTCGCAAACGAAGTCTTGCTGAAGACACGTTTTTTTTTGTTGCGTTCCTTATTTAAGGTTTTTCCATATTTTGTTTTATTTTTTCCCCTGTATCATTATTCAAGTCCATGTGAACCATTTCTCAGTCTACTTGTAACACTCTCTTAGTCTCCATATTTAATTGCCCCAGTGCTACTGTATTAATGTCCACGTGCTCATGATGTGCTTATTTACAGTGCCGATCAAATTTTTGCTCGCATTTGTGTCATAGCCAAAGAAATATACTTATAATGTACTATTAAATTATATTACTTTGCTTGATTTGCAGATGGCAGAAAAACAGGAAGTAACTCAAATGACCATTGTGCTTTGGGAAGAACCGGAAATGGCAAAAGTTCAACTGGAAATACCATCCTAAAAATGAAAGCTTTCAAAGAATCATCAGGTTCATCTTCTTGCTCAAAATTAATTAAAGACGCCGAGAATGTCATAAACAATGTGAGTATCACTGTTTATGACACACCTGGTCTCTTCGATGGCGATGATAACGATATGTTGACCGCTGAAGAGAGAGCGGTTGTACAGATGGATTCATTGATGTACGCTTGTCAAAAGAGTGGAGTGAACGCATTTGTTTTGGTTCTCAATGCCACCAATAGATTTACCGAAGAAGAAAAGAAAACGGTTCAGTGGTACGAGGCCATATTTGGAGCAGATTTTCTGAAAAAGAATGGGATTCTAGCATTAACCCATGCCGATAACATTGGCACTGAAAATAAAGATACCGATCTGAAGGATTGGACCGCAAAACAGACTGGCGCGATGAAAACACTGATTGAAAAATTTGAAGGGAGAATCGCTTTTTTCGAAAACATAGGGAACTTTGAGGGTCGAAGAGAAAAAAGTGGCGTTAAACTAAGAGACCTATGTCAACAAAAGCTGGAGCTGAATGCATACTCTATGATGAATTACAAGAACAATGTCTCTGGTCGCAACCGGTTTAAAAAAATTCTCGATGGTGTAGCATTATGTAAGAGATTTATAGATTGAACAGCTTTGTCACGGCACCTTTTTGATCCAGCATTAGGAAATGACGTTGTGACGTAATAATGCAAAATGTTTCACTATTAAAACACATTTATTGTTTTAGGTTAAAACAAAATGTACCACCCGATGTTGCCGGGTAATAATGGAAAGTATTTTGCGATACTTTCTACCTGCTACTGTCAATTACCAACATCTAACAATCAATTGTTACGAATAAAACTGTAATAAAACATCAATAATAATTATGCAATAATTCTTTTTATTTGATTCAAGGATTAGAGAAGAAGACAATTCCCTTTTTTTTTAATAATGAATGTTGGACTTTTAAATTTCAGTGTTATTTCTAATTAAAAGATATAAAATAGATGCGAATGAGTGATGATTAAATATATACAGTAGTTTTTCTTTATATCGATGTATCTCTTTACAATGAAATGCATTATCAAAAAATATATTTTTTACACCAATGTTACCCACCCCCATCTCCACTTCACCAATTGAAACGACAAAAAATCCCTTAGAGCGTAGATTTAAGATGGGTTATTGAAACTATTTAAACGCAAAATACAATTATAAATATAAAAAAATCAACAGAAATAAAATAGTGTAATTTAATAATTTACTTTTATAAAATAAATGAAGTGTGTGGATATTTTTAATATTTTTAAAATAGTTTTAATAAAAATGTGTTTCATTTTTATAAAATAATATCAAAATTGATACTTAAAGAAAGGGAAATTATTTTTTTAGTGAATTATTTGATTTCTCTACTTTGCTTTTATGTTCATTATAGTTAACAATACTTTATAACAAAGGAAGTTTGTTGCAAAAGGTAGCAACATTTAGACTGCCTCATTTTGTGCAATGCTGAAGACCTTTGTGTAACTGTTATAAATAATGTACGAGAAGTTTCGGTTTCCAGAAGTGACTTGATTAATCAGACTGTAACAGTAACCAATGAGAATAAACATCAATATGCATACAAGTTAACAGAAAAAGAGATTTAATCAAATCTGCAATTTAAATTCTTGAATATTTTTTCTCTTCTTACATAAATTATTTAACCTTAGTATCATCCCAAAAGATCACATGTCCACTCATGTCAAGATCTTAAAAACGACTCTTGAAAGTCAAAACTGTCACAAACTCAGGTGAACAAATAGACCACACTGATTGGCCAGTCTTACATGTTACACTTCACCAAAATCCGTGATACAAATCACAGGGAATACAAACTATTAACTTGAGATCCGTAATCTTGTATCTGTAGTTTTCACATTCAAAATAAAATATTAGAAACCATCCCTTTCATTCAAAAAATAATTTTTCTAAATTTAAAAACAATTAGTTTATTAATCGATTCTATCCAATTCAATTAATAATTAACAAAACATGCAGTTTGACTGGAATCACACGTAAAATTATTAGTTAATTTTGAATAGAGTATGAGTTCCCAAGTTGTTTATGTTATTATCTGCAAGCAAGCTAAATCACTAAAATCAAGATTATATTTTGTTAAAAATAGTTTTAGGGCTAAAGAAAATGTCCAATATTTTTGTCTAACTGATTATACAGAATTGTTTTAATTTTTTTTTAAAAAGCATTATTCCAGAAAACTGTGTTCAATTACAATCAATTAATGTGTTTATTAACGCAAAATGTTATGTAATTTTTCAGTGTAATATGTTTTATTTTATCTCAATGTTGTGATAATTCAAGTTGCAAGGTGTCCTTCAAAGTTATATATATTTTAAACACCTCCTTAGAACGCCAGAAACACCACACTTTTGGAGTTATGGACAAATTATTCCGCGTTGTTTGTTGTTAAGATCAAGTGAATCGCTCACTGATGTTTGACCAGGGGAATTGAATTACGCCGTGGAAACAACCCCCTTTCCCTTTTTATTGTCACAAGTTAGCTGATGTAAGACCGTGGAGAATTTTAAGTTCATTGGTCACACATAACACATGCTTTGGATATAGTCAATGACTAATTATAGTAAATTTTGGTCAAAGATAACAGATGATAGAGTTTTATTATTGATTAATAAGACTAAATCTAGGTCCAAGATAGAACATGATAGGGATTCAGTCGATGACTAATTATAGTAAATATTTGTTTTAAGATAAAACATGATAGGTATTTAATCAATGTATGCAGTGGAAACAGTAGACGCAGCTAAGTGTGCAGTGGAAACAGCAGAGGCAGCTAAGTGTGCAGTGGAAACTGTAGACGCAGCTAAGTGTGCAGTGGAAACAGCAGAGGCAGCTAAGTGTGCAGAGAAAACAGAAGAGGCAATTAAGCGTGTTAAGAAACGGTCCATGAAGAAGTGTGCAGTGGAAACAGAAGAGGCAGTTAAGTGTTCAGTGGAAACAGAGGCAGTTAAATGTGCAGTGGAAACAGTAGAGGCAGCTAAATGTGTTAAGAAACTGTCACGTCTATATTCACTCACAGTGCACAGACTAAGACTACCACAATGCTAATTACTAACTATATAGTCTATATCAATCAACAATAGAGGCGTTGTGGAGTTCAGTGAAAGATTGTGACTATCATTTATTATCAATACACACGAATAAGCAATTATAATCACAAATAGAGAATACTTATCACAATCACAACCTATTCATTATATTATCACTTAATTAATATATTAATAGCATGGACTTATAACAACCGCCATGATTCCATCCTCCATTCTCTCCTCCTTTTTTCTGATTGGTTCCTTTTATAAAGTTTCATACTCAATAAATATAAGTCCTAATTCTACCTCACTTAACTCCCTTAACTCAACTTAGCTCTGTGACAGAAACGGTCCATGAAAATGTGTGCAGTGGAAACAGAAGATGCAGTTAAGTGTGCAGTGGAAACAGAAGAGGCAGTTATGTCTGCAGTGGGAACAGAAGAGGCGGCTAAGTGTGCAGTGGAAACAGAAGAGGCAGCCAAGTGTTGAGTGGAAACAGAAGAAGGACATAAGTGTGCAGTGGAAACAGAAGAAGCGGCTAAGTGTGCAGTGGAAACAGAAGAGGCAGCTAAGTGTGTTAAGAAACGGTCCATTAAGAAACTCCCGTCAATAAATTTCAGACATATAGAAGTAAAAAAAAACAACAGACAGCAGAACAATTTTACCCATTTATAATACATGATTTTCTGATGGGGACTTGTGGCAGGTGTGCAGGAAGAGGACATAAAGGAAATATCTGCAAGTATAAGGACATGATCTTTCACTTTTGCCACAAGAAAGGGCATCTGGAAAGAGTTTGTCTAAATAAGAAAGAGAATGCCCCAAAACAGAAACAATATATCTCAAAAGAAAACGAAGACAAAAACAAATCAAAACTATTCCATCAATTATTCGAGAACTAATTTCAGTAGGAAAGAGATTTACATTTGAAATTGGTACCGGAGCCGGAGAAAATTTCATGTCTGAATCTTTTTGGCGAAAGCTGGAACAGCCAACTATGAGCCGAGTATCCGTTAGGTACGAGTCAGCGTCTGGTGACCAACATAACGTTTTGGGCCACTATACTTGAGCTACTGTATTATTTAACAACAAAAAATAGTATCATGGAACTAGAAAACAGAACAAGAATAAGCTTTAAGAAAAGTCAAGCAATGCATCACGTCTGATACAGTTCTAGCTCACTATTATCCAACTCTAGACATTGGCATAGCCTGTGAGGCCTCTAATGTTGGCACAGGAAGTGTTCTGTGCAACAGATATACTGATGGCAGTGAACGCCCTATAGCTAACATTTCAAAACCTCTCACAGCAACAAAACACACATATTGAAAGATTCAGAAGGAAGCACGGTGAATTATTTTTTGCACTATCAAAATTGCATCAATATCTATATGGAAGAAAGTTTGATTTCGTTACCAACCATAAATCACTGATCAGCATATTTGGACCAGGAAAAGGAACACCAGCACTGACAGCAAATCGTTTAGCCAGGTTGGGTCTTAACTTGAGTCAATATGACTATAACAGGGCTCCGCCACTTGGATCTTGGTATGCGCCCATTGGATGGTGGGATGTACCACTTGGTTGATGAGCTCTAACATTTTATTGCTGGGCTCTGCCTCTTGGTGTTGAGTTCAGCCTCTTGGCATTAGAGCTCCGCCGCTTGGTGTTTTGGCTTTGCCACTTAGATAGTGGGCTTTGCTTCATGGTTCGTGGGCTCTGAAACTTGGATCGTGTGCTGTGCCACTTGGGTGATGGGCTCCAACATTTGGATTTTCGGCTTTGCTTCTTGGATTGTGGAGGTCAGCCACAAGGCTATAGACCTCCGCCACTTGCTTTTTTTGGCTTCGCGATATAGGTAGTGGGCTCAGCCACATAGTTGTTTGTCTCCGCCACTTGAATGGTGGGCTTGGCAACTTGGTTGGTGTACTCCCCTACTTGGATGTTGTGGTATTTGCATTAACAACTATGAAATTTGCCCAGACACTAATGGCATGTGTCCGAACACCAATGGCATTTGTCCAGACACCAATGACATTTTCCCATACACTAAAGGCTTTTGCCCAGACACCAATGTCATTTTAGCAGACGCTAATGGCATTTGACCAGAACCTTTTTGCACTTTCACAGAAACGTATGGCATTTTCCCAGACCCTAATGGCACTTTCCCTGACACGTATGATATTGCCCAAACACTTATACTATTGCCCAAATAGTTATTGCTTTTACCCAGACACACATTGCATTAGACCAAACACTTATTGCAATTGTACAGACAATTATGGCATTTAGTAAGACATTAATGGCTTTTGCCCATACATTAAGGGCATTTGCCCAGGGACTAATGGCATTTGCCGAGAAACTAATGGCATTTCCCCCAGACACTAATTGCATTTTGCCACACACTAATGGCATTTGCCTTAAAAAACTCATGGGAATTTCCCCAGACACTTATTGCATTTTCTCTAA